TTTGCCGCTGAGCTAAATCCCCAGCCCCCTGTTATGTAGTTCAGGCTGACCTGGAACACACTCTCTAGCCCAGGCTGGCTTCAAACTTGTCAATCCTCCTGTCTCAGCCTCCCAAGTGCCTGGATTACAGCTGTGTGCTACCACCCCTGGCTGGACTATGGCTCAATATTTAAAAAAAAATACAAAAGGGCTGGTGATGTAGCTCAGTGCAAAGGCCCTGGGTTAAATCTCTAGGGCAGGGGCCTGGGGATTTAGCTCAGCGGCACAGCGCCTGCCTGGCAAGCACAAGGTCGGGAGTTCGATTCCCGGTACTAGAAAAAAAAAAAGAAAAAAAAAATCTCTAGGGTAAAGAAAACAATTCAGATGGAGGCAGGGCGGAAATGTGTCTTTTGCTTGCTCCCTGGGTTCCCTGAATGCACGGTGAGCTATCAGATTGGGAACCACCCCCTAAAGTAAGGGTCGTGCCCAGGAGAGGAGCCTGCACCCCTACCCCAGGGGCTCGTTCTGACCTTTCACCTAACTGTTTCTTGGTCCAGAGTTTGCAGTTCATTTTCAAGCCTGCCCATGGGTAGGAATCCTGGCAAAGGGGAGGACACTGGCTGGACTGTCTCAATACGGACCACTGAGGTGTCCGTGTCCTCGTCACCTACACCCTTATGCCGAGCAGCAGTGCCAATTCTTGCGCCTCCCCACAGCGTCAGAAGACACGGGTCTCCATTCTCTCAAATCGTCTGTGATTGTGGTCCTCGAGAAAAAGTTGGGAAACACATACCAACTAGAGTGGAAGCAGAAGTCAGCATACACCCAGACTCCCTGTGTAGCCCAGAATGTCCTCAAACCTGCGGCGAGCCCCCTGCCTCAGCCTCCTGAGCACTGGGATTAAAGGTGTGTGCCCCCACACCCAGGTTTATGTCATGGATTTATATAGAGATGCCCATCCTCACTCACAATTAAAGAAGTATAAATTAAAATGATAGTGAGACACGATCTTTTATGCATTCAACTTGAAAAATCATCTTAGGAGGCCAAGGCCACAAGTTTAAGAGTAGCTGAACTAGACATAGCAAGACCCTGTCTCAAAAAAAAAAAGTCAATAGAAAACATAAAAAATTGTTGAATTTCATGTGGGATCCTGATGAAATAAGAACAATTGGCCAGGGATCATGGTCCAGGCACTCTGGGAGGCTGAGGCAGAAGTAGGAATGTTACAAGTGCCTGCCTGGCAAGCGCAAGGTCCTGAGTTCGATTCCTGATACCAAAAAAAAA